TACTGTTCTTTTCTTTAACAGCGATTTTCTGAAGTAACCGAAGCTCTACACGTATGCATCTGTTTCCCTTCTACTTCTCAAAGACAAGTGGAATTAGAAAGATACGAAATGTTGGAAAAAGTTCTCAGCTTCTCAAAAATAACTGTTTTGGAAGTAAGCTTCGGCAGCCCAAATGATGGAGACCTTATCCATATTGAGAGTTTTTTCAAAAGTTTGTTCTATTTTTCCTGGTGTTTCTAACGTAGTTTATTTCCATTTTTATTATTATCATAAATTATACAGTGATTATATGCGAAGCAAAGCTTGATTACTCTCAGTTGTAGAAGAACGTAATTTTAAAACCGGCAATTTTCAAATAAAGTTAGTCTCATACAGGTTCCATTTATAGCAGTTAATATTTAGGCTTGAGCCTTATGGGCGAAACTCTTCAAGTGTTCCATTTTACTGTGAAAGCTATTGGTAATAATCTTCGTACGTTGGTTGAACCGATGTCTTTAGGATTATCTGAATTAAAAAACTTGAAGGAGTTAACAATACGAGAATTTCGAGATAAAATTCCCTCAGAAGAATGTAACAAAATTTGGGCCAACCTGCCAAAAACTTTACGCTCTTTCGGGTTGTATGCCATGAAAAACTTTACTCATGACCATATCTTAACGATAGTTCAAGTATGAATTTTATGTGCATTATTAAACTAAAATTTTTCTTGAATCCAAGTTAAAAATTTTTTACAAAACACAGTAAACCTTTCTTTTATGAACTTCAGTGCTAGTTGAACATAGCAGTAACTTTAAACGGTTTTTATAGTTTTCCTTGAGAGTATTGGTCAGAGTCTAAGATAGAGAAAGCTACATTTCGATGTTCGGAAATAGTATTTAGTATGTGACCTTACGAAAGTGAACTGCTGCTGGTGCAGCAAGTTTTAGAATTGTCTTTTGCGTTTTTTTATTATTTTCTCAGTTAACGAAGAGAAACTCTCCGTCCAATGCAGATCCGGTTTGGGAGCGAGGTGAAGATCTGTTTGTAAATTACTTTATTTGTTGCCGTCCTCCATCCGTCCATACCCTCATTCCTCAACACGAAAGAATGATAGAAAGACTAGAGATGTAGCGTGGTTATGCTAAACCTTTTTAAATTACGCCTTGTGTTTTAGATGTTTTGCAGGTGCAAAGAGCAAACAGTTTTTTCTATCGCAAAATTTTGGATTTTGTCTTGAGAAAATTGTGAAACTTTACTAATTTTGAAACTATTTACGTTCCATCAAACTCACTGTTTCAGATGAAAAAGGTTTTTTCATAAAAACTCTCACTCTTTTTCGAACTTCTCCCTTCGCTTAACGACAAAAAATGAAACTTCTATTCTTTTCTCAACATTCAGAACATTAGTTGAAAAATCCAACTTTAAAACTTTTTCTGATTAAACTAATGATAAAAAATGGTCAGAATAGTACGGTCAGTATTCTGATGCTTATGCCCAACACGTGTAAACGGTTATAAACATTTAGAAAAGAATAGCCGAGATAAGTAAGAAGAAAGTATAAAAATAATAAAACGCTCCTTTGATCCCATGACATTTAGAGTTGCCCGATGATCGAAGACCTCCTTCTTCTTGGAGTTCAGCAGCTACGCTCGAAAACGGTGGCACACATTTTGAACGGTCTACCAGAGCTGCGTTCCTTGGCAATTAATCTTTGGGATGCTGTCGATGATAGCCTGATTCAGCTACTACTGAACAGAAAAAAAACTCCTTTTTTAGATGCACTTTCTTTATGTTTCAAAACTCAAAAAGATATGACCAAAAGTGAGTTGTGACTTAAATACGTTAAGGAAAAAGCAGATGTGGAAAATTAAAATTTAATTGGACACTGGAAGACAACTCCATAAAAAGAACAATTTTTTAAAAGATATTATGACAGTACAGTGAAAAAATTAAGACTATCTTTTTCAAATTCTCAAAAGGTATTTGGTATTTAGTCTTTCAGGTGAGCTGCCAAGGCTTGCTAGCTGGTTCACTTTTCATTTGAGTGAAGATACTAGCTTTTATGAGCCCTATACAGCTTCGCATTTTTACAAAACGAGGACTGCTCATGAGCGTATGACGAGAATTATTAGATTTTGTTGCTGCCCGGGATGCAGTAAGGACGCTGTTTATGAGTGCTAATTGCAGATTTATGAGAATGACGTTTACTTCATTTGTTTCGCTTTTCATATTAGAAAGGGTATAATACAAAAACCAAACATTAGTGGTCAGTAGCAAACTCAAAAATGTTACTTATGGGTTTACTGTAGGCAGATGGGTGAACTAAAATGAGCAATGTGTAAAAGATATTTTAGTTACTGTGAGATTTTATGAAAAAAATTAGCTCCACGCAGATATTAAACTTTACTGACAAATTGGCATTGAAGCAATGTTCTAACATTTTGGGAAATTTCTAACAAGAACATGATTACAATGGTTGTCATTAAAGACACTCCGTTTTTCTGTAATAAATACCGCCGTACCAAGCCAATCGTTGCTTGTTGAATCCGAATATGCTTTCGTAACTAAATTATATTTTTCAGATGTTTTTCACAACTGATTCTGTTATTTCCAAAAATCTGACAACTTTTATGTATAGCTGTACTCTGTCCTGCGGCTAAGTGATATTTTGAATCTCTTGTTATTAATCTAATGCTTTGACAGTGATTCAACTTTCTACCCAAAATATTTAATTTCTTTCTTTTTCTGAATAATAAACTAATTCACGCTAAAAACAATTCACCTATCCCTCGCTGAAAGTGTACAATCTTTTCCCATCAATTTTGCCTGCTCTACAAATAACTTACACACCTCTTTTAACAAAAAGACGGAGTGCTTTCAGGCAGGAAGTCATTCGCATCCAAAATACCTGGTCTTATCATTTTAATCACTCTTTCACATTGTTTAAAAAAGGTTCGCAAACTGTTTTAAAATTTTACAATAAATCGTTTTACTTGCATTCAGAAGCATAAGTTGAGCGTGAAAACAGCATGTGCTGCAGAAAATGCAGAAAAATACACAAAAATCGCCTTAGGCTAAGATTTCAGCCCCTCAAAGTTAGCTTTATATAAAGAAGTAATATGCACAATACCGAAGTGTTGGAACTCAGCAAATTTGGGCGCTTTCCGCTACAACGAATCGTAGAGCTAATTTAGTAATGAAAACGCCTGTGAGTCACCTGCTACAAATTCCACTTCAATCAAGCGGAAAAAACAGTTTTGGAGCTGTCGCAGCTGTTAAACAACGGGTTTTTCTTTCCTCAAAAGAATTCTGTGAAGCCAAACAGTTACAGCTTGAACTACGCCATACTCACTAACTTCACAAAACCTGCCTCATCATCTGGCACATCGCACGTGAATGCTACCGTCACTAGTGTTTCACCAAAGCGGAACCGACTGAATGATTTTTGGCTGCAATCTTGAAGTCGTTTAAAAAATTCTTAAGCTGATTCCCTTAGAACTGTATTTAGCTTTGGCAAATCTTTTTTCTAGGTGAGGAACGAGTGTAGTACAGATTTCTTAGTTGTGTGTGCGCATACAAGCTTTACTATTGTGCTACACTTCTTGTGGTATAAGTATTCTCATTCAGTTCTTTTTGATTATATGTTTTCTTAACTATGACTTTTTTGAAGCCGTCAATGTCTGGCTTAAATTTTTATCTTTTTACTTCTGAGT